GAGAGGGAGAGGGAGAGGGAGAGGGAGAGGGAGAGGGAGAGGGAGGGAGGGAGGGAGGGAGGGAGGGAAGAAGAAGGAAGGGAGGGAGGGAGAGAGAGATGCATCATCAAGTTAATCACCCCACCTCCAAAAGCACCTGATAACTTTTGATCAATCATGGTCTCAAAAAGCAAACTTTCCCTTCTTGCCTAACAGCACTTACCCGACCCAGTGTAGCTCCCATAGTGAGCTAATTGGTTAAAGGCCCTGTAGATGCCACACTAAAAGGGCTACAGACAATGTCTGACTTAGGAGGTACTTCAGCTTAGCAGCTTTTCCTTTACACTGACATCCCTACAACCAGTTTGTTATTCCACTGTCAACAGAGTATTCAAAAGTTCCTGAAGATGATCAACATTTTACTGGAAAATAGACTTTCTGTAAGATGAATGTGCCCAGCCTTAAGTGATGTAAGTACTCCAAACACCTTAAAGTTGGGGGTGGGGGGAGGGGCTGGGCAATGATGCTAGGTAGCTGTGATGGGTTTCACTGGCTGTAATTCCATCACAAAGTGAATATCTGTGTTTGGATCTGAATGTTCTCGATATTGAGTGAAAGGGGGTGCTGAGCCAGTGTGGACCATACTAATAGCCATTCATTCATTCATGGTACAACATCAGCTTACAACAGTGGAACCTCTATACTGGGTATTGTAGCAGAAGTTAAGTGCTTGGTAATGTAGCAGCTAGTGCTGTAAGAAAGGGGTTTTGGGTTTTTTGTTGGTTTGTTTGTTTCTAGCTGTGATCAAGCAGTGTAACTCTCCTGGAAAGGGAGAAAATACTCTGAAGGGACATGCTATCAGATTATTGAAGCAATGGGCCCCAAAGAGTTAACATTTCCCCAGGAATCCCATACTGGGTGAAGGGGAACGCTGAAGCCCTGTTGCTAGCCAGAGATTTCATGCAATTCTGACAACTTTCAGGACCACTGAGAAGGGGAGCTCAGAGCCAAGCCAATGATGTACCAATGGTGGGTGGGACCACACCTTGACTGCATACTTATGCTTACTCACACCTTCTTTAAAAGACAGATTTACTTATTTTTATTTTGTGTGTTGGTGGTTTTGCCTGTATGGATGTATGTGCAGCAACTATGTGCCCAGTGGACATGGAGAACAGAGAGGGCATCAGATCTCCATCAGATGATTGCCAACCTACCTCCATGTAGGTACTGAGAACTGAACTCAGCCTCTCTACAGGAGCAGTAAGTGTTCTCATCCACTGAGCCACCTCTCTAGACCCCCACTCTTGCTTTCTATTTAAGATGAAATGTCATGTTAGAATCCCACAGACAGACAGACTTAGGTTCACTGCACCTCTTCCTTGTTCTTTCCAATGTGATCATGTTGAATAAATGTCTATTTTTCACGATAACCTCTTCTCTTGGTTAGGGTTTTAGTGCTGTGAAGAGACACCATGACCATGGAAACTCTTGTAAAGGAATTATTTGGGCCTGGCTTAAAGTTTCAGAGGTTTAGTCCATTATCATCATGGCAGGAGACATGGTGGCATGCAGACAGACAGTTCTGGAGAGGTAGCTGAGAGTTGTACATCTGGATCCTCAGAGAGCAGGAATAGTCTGAAATACACTTCCTCCAACAAGGCCACACCTTCTCCAACAAAGGCACACCTTCTCCAACAAATACTATCTCCTAATAGAACTACTCCCTATGGACCTATGGAGCCATTTTTTATTCAAATCACCACACCTGTCTCTCAGACAGGTCTTGGGAACGGATGGTTGAACCTGGCTGGTTAGGGCTACCAGGGCTCAGGCCTGGACCCTAAGAACTCTTGCAACAGTAGTTTTGAAATCAATTTCATGGGTCACAAAAAAAAAAAACACTTTAAAAGCAAGCTTAACAGGACAAAAATAGAGGAAAACTGGAATTGTGTCATCTACTGCTCTGGTTTTATACCACCAAACACCAGTTATTCAAATCTCAGATCAAAACACATGTCCACCAATGTAATTCAGTTCTGATACTATCTGAACAGACCCCAAGTCTAAGCACTCAAGGGCACCTCTACTTCAGGTGTGAACAGGAAATGTGGTCTGTAAGCCACACACACCTCTACCCAGCAGATGACAAGCTCCAGGGTCCCATGACTCCTGCTAAGGAAGGTTTGATCATCTACTAGAAAGTTGTATAGGACACAGAAAACTCTGTTATCATCCCAGTTTATTCTAAGAATAGAGATGAGCAGACAGGTGAAGTGCTCAGATCAAGTCTGCAAGGGTCTTGGTGATGCAGAGCCTCAGTCCTTATAGGGTTGGGGGTCATTCATCCTTCTAGGTAATGGTGTGTGTCCTAGGTTGCTTTCTATTTCTGTAATAAACACCATGGCTAAAAGCACTTTGGGGAAGAGAAAGGTTTATTTGGTTTACATTTCTTAGCACAATCCATCATTGAAGAAAATCAGTGCAGGAACTTAAGCAGAGACCATGGAGGAACACTGCTTACTGGCTTTCCCTCATGGCTTGCTCAGCCTGCTTTCTTATACAACTTAGCACCTGGTCAGTGGTGACCCTGCCTCTAGTAGGTTGGGCATTCCCACACCAATATGGTGCTCCAGAGTCTCAAGAATATGCTCTACAGAAAAAACACAGGCCAATCCGATGGAGGCATTTTCTCTATTAGGATCTCCCCCTAGAGATGTCTAGGTTGGTGTCAACTCAAGAAAACCATCAAATCCTGTTTCAGAAACCTGGTGGAACCCCCGGAGGTAACTCTTCCACATTTTCTGACAGCAGTTTCATTGTGCATGTGTGATGGATTGAATCATGAACTGAAGTGGCTGAGGTCAGTCTCTAGTCTCTCTCTCCAGTGGCTGGAGGCTGGGAATTGGAGATGAAGTTCCAACTCTAATCACTGTGGTTCACTTTTCTGGCAACTGGTCCTCATCCTAAGGATTTCTACTGCATGCCTGCCATGAGCCACCTCATTAGCATACAAGAGACAAGAGGCAGGAAATTCCATGGGTTTTAGGGGTTCAGTGCCAGGTATCAGGAACAAAGAATCAATACCTTTTTTATTGTACCTCAGTTGCACAGAGTAAAGATTAGAGTTATTTTGTGGAAGTTTTTCCCTCAATTGTTCACATATGTGTGTTTGTCTTCTTACCAGATCACCATAGGAAAGGTATTTCTTGCTATAGATTGTGGTAGAAACAGTTGGAAAACCTAGCCAGACATGCCTGCCTCACAGACTTAGCTGTAAATTCTGATTTATTTGCTGTGCCAGGGGGGCTGAAGGTTGCCATTTCTCTGATCCAACTCTGAGATCAGGATCTTTGTTTTCCCCAGCTCTTAACTGCAGTATGCAGGGTCTGGTTCCAGTAAGGAGTCCTACGTTCCAGAATCTTGTAAGTTTGCGCGCGAAACACCTTCCTGACAAAGCATTACACATATAATGATTTCTGTCTGTGTCTAAGGGTTTTGGCAAAACATGGATGAAGGACACAGCAAGGCCAGAGAGAAGATAGCTTTAACAAGCAGGGAAAGCTTCTTGGGGGAAGGAACACTGAGCACAAGAATTCAATCTGTACAGATGTGCTCTGCCTTTTCTCTGGAGCTCAGTGATGGGTATGAACTTACCATGGTGTGAAGATGAGTTGGTTCCCATATACCTGTGGGTACACTGAAAGCTCAGTCCTTGGTGTGTAGCATTGAGGCAGTGAACCTTGAAGTCTCTGAGAGAAGTAGTAGGTCACAGGTACTGCATCTTGAAGGATGGATGAATGTCATCATCACTGGGAAGTGGGTCACGTCTGGTGGGAGTAGATCTGCTCTATAAGAGCTTCTTGTTCCAAAAATGAAAGTGTCTCCTCTCGATCTCTTGTTCCCTATGTTATCACATGACCTCTCTTTTTACACATGCTTCACCACTGTAATGCTATCAATCAACTGAGAAGATGCTGTTCTGTGCCCTTGAACCTCCAGACTTACAAGCTGAAGTGTTTTGTTAAGCTACACAAAACAGACTAAATATTGAGATCAGGTTGTACCTTGCCCCAAATCACTCTAGATTATGTAAAAGCAGTAGTCTTGGCCTGAGAGACTCCATTTTGGGGACTGCATTGGGGCAGATACAAGAAGAATAGCATCTGCCCCGTGCCATCCATGCAGCGAAGACTGATAAATGACTTGTTCCTGGGATAGAAGGGAGACACCATATAAATATTTCAGGGGCTCCGGAAGTATGACTAGACTGAGGGCTGCCACAACCTGTACCCCAACAAGCCAGAGCAACCACACAGCCTTCATAACATAGTAAAAGAGCTCAATTCATACCAATATGCAAAAAAGAGCTGCTATTAAAGAAGATTTATTTAATGTGGCCATATCAGGGAGAGGGACAAAGAGGTCAATGGCTATTCAAGGTCTGTCTTTGGGACTAACATGAGGGTAGGGGTTTAATTAAACTAGCAAGAGATATTCATGGGTGAATATTCAGCCAAAGTGTGGTCTCACACACATCCCACTATCGCCACTACCCTGTCCAACATTGCCTCTGCTCCAAGAGGTCCATATGGTTGTCTCACAACTTATAAATCCTTTTCCAGACATAAGTTCCTCCTCTGGCAGAGAGCTCTGTCTCTGGTTGCCCCTGGGACTTCAGCCATTTCTTCTTCCAGGAAATTTCCTAGGAAATTTATTTATGTCTTGGGGTTCATGGTTTCAGTCATCTGATAGCTAAGGAGAGAGACACAGTATTTCTTTAGAATATATTCATTCTTATCAGGTGGGCTGGTTATATGAGCATATTAAAATCATATCAGGGAAGCCAGGTCCAGAAACCTAGCAGATACATCAGATGTGGGTGTGTGACTCCCTCACCTGGATGTCACAAAGAGGTAGGTACACAGTATTGTAATGGGGATAGCCCCCACCCAACCATCATCTGACCACCCAGAAGAACAGACAGATAGACTTTTGACTCTCCCTAGGGCTTCCACCCAGATTCTTCCCCAGATGCTGTTGATGTTGCTACTCAAAAGCCATCTGCCAATTCTCCTGCCTATCCATCTGGCTATGCCCTTTCACCTTTGCAGCTGGACTCAACTCTACATCTCGTGTCTGTGGACCATAGAAAGCTGACTACAGCAGAAATGTCTTCCTAGAATTGGTTTGGGTTTGTTATCTTACCAACAGACTATTTACATTTCTATCAGGCCTTCTTCTGAACCCTTTTGAATTCTGCTGTGGCCTCTAGCCTTTTGTAGCCTTTCGGAGGCCACATATACACAGAGATCTAGATAGATTTATAGGGTGCTGTGTAGTGTGTAATCTGAGAGTTAGCGGTAGTTAAGATGAGAATGAAAGAACCTGTGTTCACCTTGGCCAGGGTTAGGCGGGAAAGCACAAATAGCTGGCAAACTGCTGTCACTGAAACCACCATGTCTTGTAAAGTTTTTGTTATTCCATAAATCCTGACAGGGTAGAAAGACACGAATGTGGTCCTGACATTGGGCTCTCACACCACTAAGATGCTCATTCATCACCAGAAAACTCAGCTTGACCCAATTAATACAATGAAGCAGACAATTTCAGTGTGAACTTATAGTAGGCTACTGATAGTTATACCATCTCATGAAAGTATTCCTGAGAGTACTTTACATGCTAAAAATATCTTGAGTAAAACTGGTCTCTAGACCAGCCCTAAATTCCTACAGTAAACTAGCCTCTAAATTCCTCCACACTGTGACCTTGAGCTAAAGGTTAAGTGTCTGACCATTAATTGTTATCTCTCTGCTTCTGTAAACAATGCTTGCTTTTTGTATATATCACAATTGCTTATTTTGTCCTTTAAAAATCTCAGACCAACTAGAGGTTGGGGTTGCTTCCTGCTACTCTACTTGGACAGTCCCATTGGCAGTTAGTAATGACCCCATTCTGCTTAATCAGGTCTCTTTAGGGGTTTTTCTCTTCAGGTCCCCCAAACAAACTTATATTGCTAGATTGTTTCAGGTGAAATTGTCCCACAGAGACACCCTGACACCCAGGAGTCCAGGGCATACTAGAGACTGAGATGAGACCAGGACAGCATACAGCACTCTCAAAGCACTTGAAAAGTGACCAGGTCTTGTTGGGTTGCTGAAAAGACTCTGAGTTTGGAAATCCTAAGCCAAACCTACCACAGATGAGATACCTTTAAGACAGTAAGGAAGTCAGGATGGGGAGAGGGGAAGATTCAGCCACAATGTCACTAAAGCTGAGACCTCGAGTGAGCCAACAGGAAGCCCTGAAGTTGAGGTTGAGATACCTCCAGTTGAGGGAAAAGGTCTGGGCCTTTGTATTCCCATTTCATCCAGATATCCATTGAATATTATTTGAGTTTTCCAAGGGCATGGGATTTTAGGGAAGTGAAGAAGAGGACATGGAAGGGGCCCACAGTCCTCCTTGAGGGCATGACCTTGACATCACTCAGGTGCACCTCTACACATTTCCAGCACTGCCCAGGTGCCAAGCTGGGGACTAAGCCTTTGCCACTCAGGCCCTTAAGGGCCATTCAAAACCAAATTGCAGCTGGAAACAGCGAGCCATTTGTATAGATTCATCTTGGCATAGACTCCCCATCTCCACTGATGACCTTTTCCTCTTCATGGTACAAGAAGGACATTTCTCATAAGAAGTATGTACCCTGCCTTTGAGGACAAAGGAGAAAGTGGCAGGCTCCAGCAGCTTCTCAGGTGCCCTAAGGTCAAAACCATCAAGATGTCCCACTTACAGGCAGATTTGGGGTTGATATCTTCTGATTCCTTCAAAATCAATACAGGACTGTCTTGCCGCAGAGGACAGGATGAAGAAAATGTGGAGGTGTGTCTCTCCAGTCAGTGTGATACAGGCAGTGATTGCAGAAGGGATGCCCCCTGCCCCCCTCACCTCCTTTGGTTAAGTCCTTGCTCTGTTATATCAGCTGTGCCATCCCAGAAACTTCCTTACACTTCTGTGTCTCTGTTTTCTGGGTTGTAAAACAAGAATGAAAACAACATCCACTATACAAGTGGTGTGAGGAATAAGCAAGTGCGGGCCTGTCAAGAGCTCGAAAAGGTGTGGAATCCATATCAGCTGGTATTATTTTTATTTGAAAAGAGAGAGAGCCTCTGTGGCTTGTGGGGGATGAGGCAATAGAGAAACAGATGTGGTTGAAACAAGTCCTTTGACAAGGCTCTGCTTGTGGAAAGCCCAGCCATGAGCAGGGAAGTGTGCTATGGATGAAGTGTGGTGGGCCCTGCACAAGATGACCATGTCCTACTCCCCAGTACCCATGAATTGTTCCACATGGCAGACAGATGTGGTTAAATAAAGGAGTCACTCCATTTCGTGTTGCTTTAACAGAATACCTGTGACTGGATAATGGAGACAGAGAGAGATAGAGAGACAGACAGACACGGCACGGCATCTTACCCCTATCATAGCAGCACCTCAAAGGCTAAAGTAAGAAGATTGTCATAAATTTGGGGCCCTCCTGGGCTATACAGAAAGGTAAGAGCCAGATTTTATAGTGATACCCTCCCTGTAGCAAAAATAAAATCATTATATTTTACACTACTGGGGGATGGACAATTCTGAGATCAGTGACCCCTCTGATAGGGCACAGGAATCTTCTTCCATAATCCCAGGGCAGAAAGCAGAATGTCAAGGCCAACTGAGATTTAGTGTAAGAGAACTAAATTTAACCTTTCACAAGAATCCACTCAGAATGAATGTATTAATCCACTTACGAGGGTAAAGATGGGGCCTCATATCCAAGTTTGTGTCTTTCCAGCTTCCATGGAGGAAATGGGTAAGGAGACAAAAATCTTGGTTCCTTGGTGGATGGAAATGCCTGTGGTTACCAGCATTAACCTTGCAGTAGGACACTGTCCTGAGGTTGACAGTTTGGGTTTACTTACTTTTGGTTGGTGGTGTTCCATGGTGTCAAGGTGTCTTGTTCAGCAAAGAGCTTCAGATTCACATCTGGAGACCAGAGCAGGAGGTGGCAAAGACCACTCTGGAGTCACATTCAAACATCTCAGTGCATCTTTGTCAGATTTCAGACATGTCTAGAACTGAAACAGTCAAGCCTTAGTGCATCGTAAAAGGCACAGAGAGGGAAGAGATCATGCAGCTTAGCATCAGCCCCTACTGAGGTGTCCCAGTCACAGGGAGTGGGAAGGGAAAGTGAGAACACTGGGGACACAGCCCCAATGGTTCTGCTCCTTCTGACTTTGTCATCCTTCCACATGCCAGCTTATTGTTTTGTGGCTTCAAAGCAGCAACCCATTGTTAAGCACCTAAAACGAAGATCTGTCATCCAGAATCTTGAAGCTATTACTGACAAGGCGAAGGACAGAATTCCAGTCATAACACATTGCTGTTTTTCTCTCCCTCTGTTTTTACTTTGTACTTGAAAAAAAGGCAGCCAACTCCAAGTCCACAGCACAAGCTCAAGTCCAAGGTCTATTCTTATTTTCTGCCCCCTTGTACTTTGCAGAGGATGTCCTCACCCACCAGCTGGACCTGGCATTCAGTGTTAAATCTGCTAGAATCTGCTAGAGAGGGAACTTTTTGTGCCCCACTCCAAGGCCACCACATCAGAGTCTGGGGTGAACGGAAAGGTGAGCATCACCATCACAGTGGCATGCTAACAGGCACAGCATTTACTTTTAAAATGAAAAGCCAAATTGAGGAAAGAGTAGAAGGAAGTTGGAAATGCAAAGGGTGCAGAAACTGGTCCTCACCACAAGAGGAAAACAGACACAAGCATTCCAGGGGCTGGAAAACTTGACTGCGCACATACTTTTTTTTTCTTTTTTAGCCCATAGTGTCTTTTTTTTTTTTTAATTTCACTTAAAAATATAGACACAACCTTTCCTTCAAGTGATCTTATAACAGAGCACTCTATGAGAATATGTTTTACAGGAATAAAATCAGCAGGGCTGAGGGGTTCTTATTATGATGGAGCAAGGGTCTCTCTCACCCAGGGCACCTACTTTGCCCCTCTGTGCCACTCCAACAGCCAGAGACCCCCTGGGAGGGCAGGTGAGAAAGAAGGCTTTGCTTGTTTGTTTTTAGAGTCAGGGAGGGTCTGCTGGGACTCTGGTTGTCCTCAACTAACTAGCCATGGCTGACCTTGAATTCCTCAACATTTTGCTTCCTGTTTTCCATGTGCTCAGACTAAAGGGTGCACCATCATGCCTGGATTGAGACAAGGCAGCTTTTTGACAACTGTAGATGCACCACAGCAAAGGAAACATGAGAAGCATCTGTATGCATGCTGCGTTATAACATTCTTCTTCCTCATCCTGGTCCTGTCATTCACACCCAGGGCCATGTGCCCTTGACACCATGTGGCTCTGTTCTGGGGTTTGCCTGTCTCTCCATCTAGTTTTTAAATTCTATAAGGACAGAGACCAAGAAGATCTTAATATTGAAACCCTTAGCCAAGTACCTGGTTCTTCACAAGGACCCAGTGAGCATAAGGAAGACAGGCAATCAGGCAGGAAGACAGGATAGGGAGATGGCTAATAAAACAGGAAGACAGGATAGGGAGATGGCTAATAAAACAGTATCCCTGCTCTCTGAGCCTGGACCATGAGGCCTCAGAGTCCTTCTCAACACAACACTACAAACAACTACCCTACATCAGTCCTCCTTAAATTCAAACCCTAATGGTCCTGGGGAGATGGAGAAGTCCTTAGTTTTCTGACAGGAGCCAACACTGGCAGAAAAGAGTGAGAGGAGAGGCTGCTGTTGGCCCACAGAATTCAGTTTCTCCCAAAGCTTCACTTAACTCCAGGGTACTAGTCACAGGTTACTGGTTGGGGTCACTGGGATGTAGTTGACTTAGGAGATTTGTAGAGTTGTCACCAGAGTAGCTCCTGAAAACAAAGCCTCAGGCTGGCAGGAACTCTTCCTTGGGCTGCTCAGCTGCAAACCAGATGGGCTTAGTCAATGGTCACCTCCCTCACAAATCTAAGGCTTTGGCAAACATGGGTGTACACTGCCACCCAGTGGTTATAGTTGGTAACAGGACAAGGATTAAAAAAAAGCGGACAACCACAATATCCAAGGAATGGATGCGTGGGAAGATAACAACTGGAATTATTTTATTTAGCTTTTCTCAGCTAACCAAAACACACATTCATATTATTGTATATAAAATGCTGTGGGAAACTCAGTTCAGAAAAAGGAGACTCAAAACTTTTAAAGATGCTACCATGTACTACTGGCCAAGAAAGAATGACCGGCTTGGGAATTCAGCTCAGATCCCTGGGATCCTATCCAGATGTTTGACCAGCTGGTCACACGAGTCCCCTCCAGTCAATTACTTTACTTGATGTTTCTAATCAACAGTGTTATATATGTGACGCTGTAAGCTTTTACATTTAATATTAGCTCATAACTCAGGAGCCTAAACCAGATGTTTTGGGTGAGAAAGAAATTGATGACTTATCAGGAGATTGAACCCAGGCCACTGGCTGCTCTCCAGGCCTTCTGCCAGCTGAGCAGCAGAGCAGAGCGCCTGTTACCCACTCTTCAGTTACAGAGGGAGGAGGGCACCAAGTGGGGCAGAGCACCAGTGTATGGCAGCATGCAAGGGAATCTGGGCAGTGTTTCCTTATAAAGCAGGAGCCCTGTGTTCTTTTAAGTCAGTAATGATCAGAATTTTCAGTGCTTTAGACATGTTTATGATTTTATGGGGGAGAGGGAAATTATGATGGAGAAGAGACTGAATACACAACCGAGAGAAGGCACTGAAGTGACATAGTGGTTGCAGATGTGGGGAGCTCATGTTTTAAAGGTACTGCCTTAGGGACCGGAGAAAGGCTCAGTGGCTAAAGTGCAACCATGTTACGGGATATTACATGAGGACCTGCATTCAGATCTTCAGTACCCACATAAGAACTGAGCACACCACAACACATTTCTGTAACTCCAGCACTACAAACCAAGGGGGTGGGGGCAAAGGCAGCCAGGTCCCAGGGTCCCACCAGCTAGCCAATCTAAGCCAAATTATCAAGCTCCAGGTTCAGTGGCAGATCCTTGCAAAAAAAGTAATAAAGTAGAAAACACGTTTAAAGAAAACATGCTAGCATCCATCTCTTGCTGCCTCATGGACCTGAATACTTCAACATGAACAAATACATACATGAGCACAGAGATACAGACTCGATCCAAGCATGATCATGCCTATAAGCCCTAGCACCTTGGATTCTGAGGCAGGAGGATGACTACAAGACTGAGATCAGCCTGGGCTACATAGGAAGTTCATGAGACAAATTGAGACTCTGTCTCAAACAAACAAACAAACAAACAAACAAACAAACACACTGTTATTTCCTCTGCCTCTCCTGGGCAGTGAGGCCCACTCATTGCAGGAGTCCAACTACAGAGAAGAGAGAAAAGTAGTCTTCTGGGTTTTGCTTTCTGAAAGCCAAGCTTCCAGGAGAATGAGTATGACAAGTCACCCCGCCTTCATGAGGGTTTAAACTCATGAAGGACCAAAGACATTTTTGCCCTCCTGCACCCCTCTAGAAACACACACCAATCTTTAAAGCAGGGGACAGAAATTGGTTGGGTCCTGTGTCTGACTTTCTTGCTTAGAATCCTGGAGAAGGGTTGCTGGAGAGGTGGCATAGCAGTTCCCAACACTTACCTCTCATGTAGAGTACCAGAGTTCAGCTCACTGTGTCCACAGGAGGCACCTTGCAGCTGCCTGTAACTCCATTTTCAGGGATTAGATGTCCTCTTGTAGTCTCTGTAGGCACAAAACAAATGTGGTACACACACGCACACACACACACACACACACACACAAATTGTCCTTAGATAGGTTTCTATTGCTGTGATAAAACACTGTGACCAAAAGCAGTTGCAGGAGTGGGCCAAAGGGTTAATTTCAGCTTATAGTTCACAGTCTATGATGAAAGGAAGTTGGGGCAGGAATTCAAGGCAGGAGCCTAGAGGCAAGGCCATGAAGAAATGATCTTTACTAGCTTGCTCCTCCTAACCCAGGACCACTTGTCCAGGGGTGGCACTACCCACAATGGGTTGGGCCCTCCTACATCAACCCTTAATCAAGAAATGCCCCCAGACTTGTCTGTAGACAAATATAATGGAAGCAATTCCCCAATTAAGGTTTCCTCTTCCTAGAAATAGCTAGCTAGTGTCAGGTTCTCTCTCTCTCTCTCTCTCTCTCTCTCTCTCTCTCTCTCTCTCTCTCACACACACACACACACACACACACACACACACACACACACATTCACACTCACAAAAATTAAACACATAAAATAAATCTTGAAAAAACATCATTTCCTGGGAAGGGAACAGACCTGGGCCAGGCAGGGCTGCTGCTGGGTCTGGCCTGGTAGAACCCAATGATTCTGTAGGAGATAAGCCCTGGGAAGCACTGAGTAAAACTCCTAGTACAAAAGTACTTAATAACCAGCCATTCTTTCTGCATTATCAGATGACTGAAGTGTCAAGGATTTGACCATGGTCCATTTCCTCTGATGGGTAAATGCCCAGCAAAGGAGAGCCAGCACAGAACCTGCTCACTCCCTCGTTCTATCCATTCTCATGTTGAGCATGGTGTCTTCTAAAGTCAACTGGTGCTAAGCAACATGTGAAATTAAGCTGTGTAAACTTGGCTGGGTTATAGCTCCAGATAGTTCATTTGCCATTGATTCCAGCTGTTTCTTGACTGTGCATAGATAAAGCATGATTCAGTTGCTCTTCTGTTTCTCTGATAATACTATGATGAAGGCAGCTATAGAAGGAAGGGTTTATTTGGGCTCATGGTTCTAGGTCCATCAGAAACCATCAGAAGCAGGGAATTAGGACAACTGGAATCAGGAACATCTCGTGCAGCAAGCAGAAACCAAGACACATGGGAATGGCATGTGGCTTTTGAAACCTCTCAGCTTGACCCCACATGATACTTCCTCCAGAAACCTTGGCCTTCTAAACTGCCCAAACAGCCACCAACTTGGGACCAAATTACTCAAATGGCAAACTGTGGAGAACAACTCATTCAAATGACCACAGGAGAGGACCTGTATCTCCAAACTGCACATCTCATGTTCTGGGAGACTGCAGAGTTAGTTTTTGGGTAGAGAGAGGGAGACAGACAGACAATAGGTGAGTGAGGGTGGGTAGTAAGTGCTAGTGGTATGGGGACTATATACTTGGGTGGCTGTGCTATAGTAAAAATGAATTTTTAGCCCTAGTTCAACAGGAAGCAATTATGAGAAGACTGTTATCTTAGCTCCTTAGGTTGAGACGGATGGTTTTGGTCATTTTACGAGTTATCGATTTGTTGTCATTTTAGGGGATGATTGCAAATAATCATGGCCCTGGACACGGAGGAAATGAAATGGGGAGCTTAGACTCAGGGATTTCTATCTTTTTCCCCCTCCTCTTCTCTATCCTTCTTCCTTTCTTAGATAAAGTGAAGGGGGTTGAGAAGAAAAGGGGGAATGTAGAACTATCATATAGAAATAATGCAATAAAATGGTAGATTATTGAATCTACTCTTCAACTTAGAGTTACTACCATTCTCAAATAAGGTTATTTTTGTTTACATTGTTATGGATTATAGATTATCCAAACAAGTTTAAGGTTTTCATTGATATGTACCTTGTATACTGATACAAAATTTAAGATTGATTTTGCTACAACATAATGTACATATGTTTCAACTCTTGTATAGGTATTGTGCCTATGAGACTCATTCAAAAATAAAAAGTTTCATCCTAGTCCTTCTAATAGCTGCCATTGCAAACTGTTTAGGATAATGCAAGTTAATTCTAATTAAGTAATACAAGTTAATAGTCAATCAAACTCATGGTCTTGTTCAATACTAGTCTGCATCATCACAGATATATACATCCTGGCTTGAACAGGTAATAGGTAGCTGGAGACAGGCAATGTTACCTTGTTCAGATATGCTATAAATAGATCGATGGTCTTCCAAAACCTCATAGACTCAAAGAATATGGTATTTAAAGATCTTTTATTATTAATTTAAGGCATTTTAACTCCTGGCAGTACCCCCATTAGATTTGGAAGAAGAAGAAGAAGAGCATCAGAAACCTTCATGTGAAGTTGCTTCAACTGTGGCAAGCTAGCCACCAGGCAAAGAAAATGTCCTAACTTCATCTACACACAGAATATTATCCAAACTTGACAAATGGATGCAGGGAAGTCGACTATCAAGTTCTGCCAAGAGAGGGTAAACAAGTCCTTCACAATTCCTGCTTCACATAAGATCTACCAGATATTTTGGACCCAAAGGCTGAAGATGATGCTCCAACAATGTTTTAGAGAATATTGGGGACTGTCAGCTGTCTTTGTCACTTCTTAGTCTTGGAAGCTGCTGCTTGCACTTCCTACTTACTCAGTGTTGGTATCAGGGACCGATTTTATGGTTGCAAATCACCTCTGAACCCAGGAATGATGGTGATGTCACCCATAGGAGACAGGGACCCATGCATCTGTTGCCATGGTAATCACCATACATCCCCAGTGTCTGTTTGGTTTACCTCCCACATTGACGTGTGAGCAGTTACATCACAGCATAAATAAAAGGCAGATCCTCTTGAGCTTTGCTCTCTCTCTTTTCACTTTTCACCCTTTGTCTCCATCGCCCCCCTTTGCCCTCCTCCCCCACAATAAGCCTCTCTCATGTAGAACTGCGTTGGCCTAGTGTGGTCTGTGTGGACACATCCACGATTCTATCACAGCACTCAGATAATATTTATTCCTTCTCAGGTCCCTGATTTAAATACTACATAGTTAAAGTTTCACAATTAAGATTAAATTGTTTAGGATTTTTGTTTAGGTCTACAAAAATGATTTTAGGCTAATAGTACAAGGCAGGATAGAAACTGATTTAAATGCGGAACTCTGAACTCACCAAGATAGGTTAGATAATAAAATACTCTCTCTTGAGTTGCCAAATACAGACTGGACTTTTTAAATGTAACTCTTACCTAATAATTTTGTTTCATAATTGTTACAATTATATTCAATTTATATTTGAAAGAAAAAGAGCCTTTCATTGGACTAAAAAGGGAACTGTAGAGAGAGTATCTTGTGTATTGTATGGATGTATCACCTGTCAATTAAAAAACCTATGGCCTACAGGTAAGGGTAGAATAGAAGGTGGGACATCCAGGAAGCAAAATGAATTCTGGGATAGAGTCAGGCACAGGAGATTCAGCTGGGGAAATTTGACAAGACAGAAGCATGGAACTTGAGCACAGGTAATCAGCTATATGGCAGAATGTAGGTTAAAATAAATCGTATAACTTAAGTCATAATCTAATAAGAGAAAAGCCTAGCTATATGTGGCCAAATTATTTGTACATATATTTTGAGTATGAGTCTTATTTCTGGGAACATGAGATTGGGAGGAAGAAATAGGACATAATTTCTCCATGGATTTCTACTGGACAGTTGAAGGTTCTCATTATGCTTTGGTGGAGGGAGAAGGGTATTGTTCACATTTGCCAGCCATTTATACTATGCCTATGATAGGTGAAAATTAGAAAAATGTTCCCTGTGCCCTGCCTGAGGAAACTGGGCAGGTGTCACTTGCTCACCTGTACTGATCCTCAGTTCCAGTTAGGGGACTGGTATGTCTGTCCTCCCACTCTGTAGACACCAGTCCCTGTACAAAAGTTACCCTGGTAGGTATGTGTAATATATGCTATGAGCACCCCTTTTTTAAAAGCATGGAACAAGCAGAATCTCACTCACAGGTCGCGAATAGCTCCTCAACCCTCAATTCTGGAGGATTCTCACAATGACTGGCTTGCCCAGAACTGGAGAAGTTGGTTATGGTCAAGATATATACACTAGAGGGTGGAAAGACCAGGCCTTGGAATCAAAGATGAAACTCTAGAACATGGTTCAGGGTAGCCACCAAGAAGACAGTCTGCTAGTGGTAGGTTCAGGTAGTCAAGTTAGTTGTGGGAAGGGGTTGTGGTATTCAAGAGGGTTCTGGCCCAAAGAGCTGAGAGAAAGTGAGGCCGTCCAGGCCACTGCTCCTGCTCCAACTCTCACAGTTGAGACAGAACTAGCAAGTGTGTTTATGAGTGTATATATGTAAAATTAGGTTATAAAATATGGATATATCATGCGTATATGTAAAACAACTCCTACACCAGAGTAAACTGTCCATATATTTCTATCTTTGTTGGTGGTCATAGGGTAGAGCATGCCAAGAAAACCTGAACTCTTCTATTCCAAAGGCCACTTTGCTGTTTAACTTGAATACTTCTCTAATCACAAGGTATGATCTATTTACCTCTTCTTTGGTTCTAGGTGGATGCTAAGACTTGCTTTAAGTTCTAGGTTCATCACTCCAAAAGCACTGTGGTTTCATTCCAACTTCTTGGAGACTAGCTACCACAAGAAGCTCAGCCTGACCACTGAAAAAGGACAGTCTACATGGATGGAAAATCTTAGGGACTAGTGGCACCTCAGCCCACAGTCAATATCGCAATGCCTAGTTTGGAAGGCCATTTGGACATGCCACTCCTCATGGAACACACTAGGAAAAAAATACTCAAGTTGCAGAGAGACAAGCCATCCTTCTGTGTGTATCTCTCTGTGAGCAATAAAGGGTGGAAATGATCCCAAGTCACTGGGTTTAGGGTAGTCCCTATATATGGCAATGAACAACTAAGTAAATGGAAGTGGGTAACTTATATTAATTCAGAGTTTCATTGGGTTCTGAAAGTCCATGGCCTCCATTTCCACTTCCCAGAATTCTTGGACATGCAGGCACTCTCCCCTTCAGCAAGTCAGGAGACAATTTTATCCCATCATGTGTCCTTTCATAGATGCCAGTCCCATCAAATTGGCAATACTGACCAAGACAAGCTAAGTTTACAGTCAAAGCCTGTGTCTCAGGCTGGGTAAATGGCTCAGAGAGTAAAGCACTTGCCACTTAAATATGAGGACCTGAGTTTAAATCCATAGAGCCCATGTAAAGTCAGATGCAATAGCAGGAATGTTATGTACGGTATAAGCTATGAGAGACATGTTTAGTTTTGAAGATGTGACTTTGACACAGCAAGCCAAAGTAAAAGAATAAAAATTGGGGGGGAGGTACACAAAAGTACAAATTGGACACTCAAAATATTCAGCAGAGATCATTCAACTGGGGAAGTCCCCTTAGAACCAGCCAGATAGAGTTCTCAACCAAGTATTCAGGGCCCTGGCTTTATCTGAATAGAAGACTCTGAATTCAAGACTATTACAGCTTGCAGGAGTGAGATTTGTGTCTTGCTACTGGTGAAAATACTTTCTATAGTTTAACGTATGTTCACTTTGGGAATATCTGACAGATATGTGTCTAGGGCAACAATAACAGGGCTCTACTTTTTTTGTGTATGGGATTTAGTATGAAAGTGTTCTCTTAAATGGACTTTTTGGTTTGTTGTTTTGATTTTTTCAAACAAGGCTTCTCAATGAAGCCCTATCTGTCCTGGAACTTACTCTGTAGACCAGGCTGACCTAGAACTGAGAGAGTCACCTGCCTCTGCTTTCCCAGTGATGAGACTAAAGGCGTGTACCACCACTGCCTAGCTCCTACAGGAATTTTTTATTGTACTTCCTAACATATTCTTTTTTTAAAAAATGTGCCAGATGTGGTGGTGTACACCTTTAATCCTACCACTCAGTAGGAAGAGGGTAGTGGATCTCTGTGAATTCAAGGCCAGCCTGGTCTACATAGAGAATTCCAAGACAGCCAGGGCTACATATAGAGACCCTGTCTCAAAATAATAAAATAAAAAGAATTTGTGATTGTTTATTTTTAATATTTGTAGGAGTGGTGGTGTCAAGTAAAAAAATAAAATGGCATGTAGCATTTGTTTCAGGGCTTTAAAATGGAGTTAAAAGTTCTCAGACAGGCCACAGCCGAAATTCTGAAGTGGGCTGCAGATATGCCATTCCTCAGATCCAGTTGATTTTTCAAAGATTGTTAACCTCTCCTGACCCCTACAACAGACCCTCTCCTCCCAAATACTCAAGAGGCCAAGACAGCACCCAATCCACCCTTTAAAAGAAATTGCTTAATTTTTGCCAGCATCAACCACAAGTTCTTGATTAAAAGATATAATTTAAGATAGGTGGTGGTGGTGCATGGCTTTAATCCCAGCGCTTGGGAGACAGAGGCAGATGGATCTCTGAGAGTTTGAGGCCAGCCTGGTCTACAGAGTGAGTTCCAGGACAGCCAGAGATATACAAAAAGACACTATCTTGATAAAACGTGCGTGTGTGTGTGTGTGTCTCTCTGTGTGTGTGTGTGTGTGTGTGTGTGTGTGTGTGTGTGTGTGTATGGTAAAACCTTTAGGGGCTTAAACTAAAGGTTTTAAAGTGTCTTTAGGGGCAGCCACTATCTGGCAAAGCTCCAGATATTCTAGAATTCATGAATGTGATTTCCCTAATATCAATCCTAATTAGCCCCAAGCAAATGCAATTCTTCTTGTTCTTGGCTAGGTAATAGTATATTACAACCTTTCTTGTGTATAAGCCCTCAAAAGTTGTTCAGTTATCTGTAATTTCCCTGCCCGTCACTGGTATGATTACTTCAAGTAGGATGGACATTGTCACAGAGCAGTTTCATATTCAGTGTGGCTTCCAAGTAAAGACCACTCTGCATTCCTCAAGGGTGCTTTCTGGATTTCTAGTGACTTCAATGGAGATCTCTGTTGTGGAGAAAATCCTCAAGATGCTCTGAAGAGGTAGTAGGTCTTTTTCTCAAATGACCCACAAGGGAACACCAAATGTTACAGTGACTTGCATATAGTCAGTCTCTCAGCCTGCCTTTCCCCTTTCTCTGCTGGCCTAGATCCACTAAGAACCTAGGCTAGGTTTGACCTCACTGGAGCCATCATGCCTAGATGTTATTGTTTTTAAATGTACATGGATATTTTTCATGAAAGTATGTTTGTACTCTAAGTGCCTAACTGATACCTGCTAAGGTCAGAAGATGTCAGATTCTGTGGGACTGGAGTCACAGAAGATAACTTGTCATGAGTCACCATGTGGGTGCTGGCAACAGAAGTTCAGACCTCTGAAGAGTAGCCAGTTTTCTTGAACTATGAGCCATCTATCTAGTCCCAGAATTTAAAAAAAAAAAAGTGTGTCTGCCTGCCCACCCACCTGCCCAGGTTGTGAAAGGGTCTCATGTAATCTCAGGTTCACCTCCAACACACTATCATGATTGTCTGGCCTAAGAGCCACCTGACAGCCCTCCCTGAATATTTGTTTAAATACATTTCCTGCAGGTGGCAACATTTTCTTCTGTATAAATTTCTATTATTTATTCAGTGTATCTCTTTAGTGCCACTCAAAGCGCTGGCCATTGAAGGGCCTTTAGCTAGCCCAAGCATGGTAAACATGGCTTTGGCAGGCCTTACCTTCTCCTCCATATCCTCTGTCTTGCTTTTAAAAAAATCCATTAGATTACATCCCTAAAGCTAGACACCAAGGTCTATTCCCTTATTTGACCATTTTCTCCTCCTAAGGCTGACCACGAAGGTCCATCTATCAAAGTATTGAAGTCCAGCCCCATGAAAAGCTCCCTTTGGCTCATCTAATTAACATACACAATCAAAACAAACCAATTCATCCTAACGGGGGGGAGGGTGTCTCTTTTTTCCTTTATAATCTGCCATTTGCCTATAGCTGGTCTCCTCCCTATCCAGAGGCAGTCCTTTGTGCCTCAGGTGCAAATAGTCCTCTCTCCTCTCTATTGACCTTTTTCTCTTCTCCCTAGTCATCTATCTCCTTTCTTTGTCTCTTATTCCCTGCCCTTTGTTCCTCTGGGGAAAATAAATCTCCTTTGTGCTGAGAACTTGGTCTTAGGGTGTCCGAAGTAGTCTTTCGAGGTCCCTACAGCCATACTATTCTAAATATCTCCCAAAGATAAGCACTTTTTAACTACTTCCGTCTTGAAGTAAGGAATGCAAATAAGAAAACCGGCTCATAATACCAATAAAACCCAATAGTACGAAGCTTACTTAGTCTTTTAATCTCTATCCTTACCCCAAAACGAAGAATATCATATGAAATGTGTTTTTATGGTGGAAATCCAACTAGCCAGATCTAGCTCCCATGCGATATTCACCATCATCAAAAGGAAGAACAATGCGAAGCTTGGAGTACTTTTGTCGAAGAGCACAGCTCCTAATAGCAGAAGACAAATCTGAAAAAGACTCACTCCTTTCCCAGTAATGCCTTTCGAGTACTTGCACTCCCAGAAGTCCCGCCTCCGCCAAGTGACAGTAGCCGGAAAACGTCAACACTGGGAAAGCCGGAACAGGTGAGGGGGCGGGGCCTCCGGCGACGCTCTAGCTTTCGTCTACTCTACGTCCGCCTTGATTGACAGACTCCAAGCTCCAAGGCTTCTTACGATTGGATGTGGCGCTTTGGATGGGCGGGCCGCTAGTACGGCGGAGCGCTGATTGGTCAGTTCCACCATGCGGGCGGAGGGGCGGTGCTTGCGGCGGCGCGAGGGGTCCGGCTGCCTTGTCAGCTTGGTGTGGCCGGGTGCATGTGGGCGCTCCGTTCGCTGCTACGTCCCCTTGGCCTGCGCGCCATGTCGCAGGGTTCGGCTCGTCGTCCGCGGCCGCCCAAAGACCCACTGCGGCACCTGCGAACGCGAGAGAAGCGCAGCCCGGGATGGGCTCCCGGGGGCCCGAACACCGTGTACCTGCAGGTGGTGGCGGCGGGCGGCCGGGACGTGGGCGCTGCTCTCTACGTCTTCTCGGAATACAACAGGTCAGAGTAGGCCGACAGCCCCAGGGGTCTGGCCCCAGTGCCACGTGCTCGGGAGGCCTTCTCCTGTCCAACCCTGTGTGTCCCTTACCTTCCTTAGTCAGCATGGCTTTCAGGCATCTGTGCAAAACTTCCCATTGCCTTTGCGGGCGGTGAGTTTTGGCGTGCCCTGAGTCGTCTCACCATCGCCATCCCAAAGCGGGGTCCTCACAGTGAGCGTGTAGGCTAGACCAGTTTCATAAGTTGATGAGGAAAGGGATCTCTTCCTATTGATCTATACCGAACTACACTCTTCCGTCACTAACCAAAGAGGTCTCAAAACCTACTAGCTAATATCAGAACCCTGTCATTTTGCTTGTAATTATGTCGCTGTGTCTACAATAAAGCGTTTTACAGAGTATACTTGTAAGTACAGTAATATTCCTCCCGTAGGTACCTTTTTAACTGCGGAGAAGGCGTCCAACGACTTATGCAGGAACACAAGTGAGTCAACCCCTGGCTTCTGGGGTGTAGATGATTATGGGCTTGAAAGCTGAGGTGAGAGGCACATGAGACTTGTCAGCAGAAACGATGGTCATCTTTGTTTCATCTTGCTGAAATGTATGTTTTTTCTTAGACTGAAAGTCTCTCGCTTGGACAACATATTTCTGACTCGAATGCATTGGTCAAATGTTGGGGGATTGTGTGGTGAGTATGTGTTTGGAGATCAGAGGCTGGTGGGAAGTTTCTGGGCACTTAAGTGGCTTGCAGCTCCTTTGTGCATCTTCCTAGTCCAGGGGAGCTAGAATTTTTTGTATACTAGCTTAGTCAGCTTCAGTAGGAAGTGTGAAAACTTAGACTCAGAAAAGCAGGTCTTGATAAGGTTACGACCTCCACCTGGACCACAGATTTAACAAGAGAGTACCTTGGTGCTGATCAGACACCAGCAGCTGGATTCAGATACCTACTGTTATCTAGACTGTGACGCAGCCAGATTTTGAAAGCTAGTGGTATGGACAGAGGAGAGAATGAGGTAGTGGACTGCCTCCCTTTTCATTGCTGACACTGCTATGATGCATGGTTTGACCAATGCTAACATTGTTTTCTCTTTATGTATTGTATAGTTGCTTATACCCCAGAACAGGGACATGTAGGTAGGTAAGTAAATAACTAGTACAGCCAGAAGCACCACCACACGCACATGTGCTCACACACACACACACCCCAGGCAGGGCCTGCATACTATATGAGAGCTGAGTTTTTAATTTTTATTTATTTATTTATTTATTTAACATTCTTTTAAGGAATGATTTTAACTTTAAAGGAAACCGGGCTTCCCAAATGCGTCCTGTCTGGACCTCCACAACTGGTGAGTTTCTCTTGGTCACGTGTCAAAACCACGTTTTTGAAAAAGTGTTAATAATAACAATCTTCAGTTTTGTAACTTAACCCTCTGCCCTCAAGGATAACAGGTAGTGGCATAAACACATCTCCTTTCATAGTATATAAATACTAACTGTGTGGTCCTGGGTAAGCTACTTTGCCTCTCAGCCACAATTTCTTAATTTATAAAGTGGCCAGAATTTTCCATAGGCTGTTAAAGATTGAATGAAGTGGTACATAGGAGGGCCTAAATCACTTTAGATATGGTACCAAAGAAAGACTTAATGAATTAAAGCTTTTGTTCTTATTCATTAAACTTTGGACATCAAACTTTGTCTCCAGCAAAGTGTCTAACTCTGTGTTTCTCTATGTCCTTGAGCTTTCACTGTCTGTGTACCGAATTAGCCTTGCTTGTCAGTTCCTACTTCTCTGCAATCTCTCCTCTGTATAGCAGCCAGAGCACAGTGTACATGCAGCGCACCGCTTCCCACCCTAAGCTTTTCTTCTGTGATGTGTGTGTGATCCACAGGGTGGCCTTTAAGTTCCATAGGCCCAGGCCGCTGTTCTCACTTCTACCTGTGTTGTCAAGCTGGAGCCACAAGGGCCAGTCCTGACCCACTGTCTTACTTTCAAATGTCATTCTTTCTGGAGCTCTACCACACAAGTTGGTGTCCACCCTGTGCCTTTCATTTCTTTCAGAGCACCTGATTGTTACGGAATTGTTTGTGCTATCTTTGCTCCCTCAACATCTCTGTTCTAATGAGAGGAAGAATTTCATGTCTCTTAATGTTGCTAAACAGTGGCATCTAATGACACGGTACAACAAGTATCTGTCTAGATGAAATTCAAAGTACTAGCTAAGTTTTGTGTTCACATAGAGTACATTTAGTACTAACTTGAATACATTACTGTGGCCTATATTTAATAAAACATAACTTCTTTCTTGTTTATTTTTTAGGAGAAATATCTAGAAGCAATCAAAATATTTTCTGGTCCATTGAAAGGAGTAGACCTGGGTATGTTGTTGACTGTGACCTGTTGTCTCATATTTCTTCTTGAATGAGCCCTGCTTTTCAAATTAGAATCCATCAAGAGCTGCCTTAAGCAAGTCTTAGAATCACATGCTTCCTTCAGCATGCAATGGTTTCTTTAAGGGCTGTGGTTCTGTTCTTTGTTGGTTTCTTCTCTTATTTTTTTTTTTTAATGATTTATTTATATTGTATGTACCTTGGCGTTATGTCTGCATGTATGTCTGTATGAGGTGTGAGATACCCTGGAACTGAAGTTACAGACAGTTATGAGCTGCTGTGTGGGCACTGAGAATTGAACCAAGGGCCTCTGGAGGAGCAGCCAGTGCTCTTAACTCTCTCCAGCTCTCTTGCTCCTCTCATGCCTCAAGAATACTGGCTGGGCAGGCAGGAGGTACTTTAACCTGGCATATGCCTGCATTCACTTTGCATCTCTCAACTTCCACTCTGGCCTCAGGCTCCTTCTCTACTCCAAGAGGTGTTTCTTAGGGCCTTGAACTCTTTGTAGTGGTATGAGGAGTCCTTGGCCATCTTAGTAGCTGACCTTCATCTCTAGCTCTGGTAAGAGGCCCGTAACCTTGATGAGAAGAGGTCTGAATGAAGATACAGCAGGATCCTGGAGCCAGCAGCCACCCCCCACCCCACACCTCCCCTACCCTGGTTGGCCTGTCAGTGCTGCTCTTTTGTAAAGCACTGACAGTTTTATTTCAGAACTTATACTAGTTCTCATGACTGAGAGAGTTCCTGGCTGGCTGGTAGTCTTGTTAGTTAAGAGCTCTTGCATTTGAGCACAGTGTTGGTTTATCTTTGCTTACTGGATCCTGTGCAGTGCTCATAGCATGACTTCCCTGACTCTGCTCCATATAAATGGCTGATGAAAATACGGCTTCCTTTTTTGTTTTTCTTTTTTTTTTATTTTGTTTTTCTTGTTTTTATTTTGTTTGTTTGTTTCTTTATGTGTTCTTTTTGTTTTGTTTTTTTGTTTTTTTTCCCTAAACAAATGTTAAAGCTACTCAGAGAACCTGGTTTTGCTGGCATATTCCCATTAACACTCTAAGGCAAGTCAGTGATGGCCTATGGGATTCCTGGAAGTTCATTTTCCCACACCTTTACTAATGTACTCCATTTCTTAACTGTGTTTTTCCTGCAGCTGTGCGGCCTCACTCTGCACCAGAATACAAGGATGAGACCATGACTGTTTACCAGGTTCCTATCCACAGTGAGTCTGAGAACCAGATTTCTCTGGAGCACATTGCTGTGGTTCCCAATCATTGGGGATGTGGGTGAGGAGACTGAGGACTTGGTGTGAGTGGCCTGTTTGGGACCTTAGCCTCTTACGGACAAGACTGTGTGCACTCACTCAGGCTGGCAAGGTCGTTTCCCAGGTTTTATGTGATGCAGATATAAGTGTCTTCCTTGGAGACTTTTTAATAACTGCAACCTAGAAGATTGTCATTGAGGGCTGAGAAGCTCCAGCCATGTTTCATGACACCAGCACCAAAAGACGTGGCTTTGAGTTAGAAACAGAGATACTTTGCACGCCACTCTGGCTAACCAGCCTATGCTGGATTTACCTACATTCAAAGAGAGGGCCTGGTGGGCGGGAGACACCAGCTGTTATGCTTTTGCCCGCTGCTGAGAGGCTATGAAGGAGCTCAGAGAAGCAGTAAAGGCAGAACGGCGGAAGGAGCTGAGGTTTATACTGGCCATGGGTGTGTTCTTGGGCAGTGGCACCAGTGCTTAAGGCCAGCAAGGGGGTGGCCCAAGGTCTCTTACCTCACTGCAGGTCAGATGTTTTCTCTTACTGACTACTACTGTCACCTCTCCCAACCCCAGCTGCAAGTGTTTCCCTTTTTTATTTCTTTCCAGCACTCTCTTCTTCTCTGTAGAGCACACTGTAGTTCACCGCCATGTGTTTTCCTGTGGCTGACACTTGCCCAAGTCTTCTGGCCAGTGTTTCCTTAGAGCCCAGCAGGTCCTGTGATGTGCTTGGAGGAGCAGATACAGTTTCTGTTGAGGCCAGCAGCTGGGTTTCAGCTTCTCAGAACAACAATTCCCCTCTTGATGCTGATACTTAAAAGTTGCAGAATTTT